AAGGTGACGCTTTTCGAATTATAACAGATGCTTAAAAAACTTAGGTGGTAGTCGATTTAGTACTTTGTGACGTCATCTGAACTCCTCTTGGTCTGAGGGGTTCTGGTTATCGATCCCTACGTTTTATTGTCGATACAGACGAACTATTCAACTGGTCACTCTCAATATTACCATCGAAAATTAATGGTCAATAAATTACGTTTATCGATGGGTTACTGCATTTGAAAATATTCATAGGTTACGTCTGCATTTTTCTTCAAATTTTTACTCCCCCTCCCCTGTTGTCCCAGCTTTTCCAAGTTTCTTAATCTTCTCTCCCTCTTCGAATGCCCGACAAAACTCGACCCTCCTTAATGAGAATCGTGTAAACAAATGATTCGAAACCACGTGTTGTTAGTATTTGCAACAAAGTATTAATTTATAGTACTTTTATACTTAAAAAGGTATTTACAACGGTGTGACATAACATTAATTAAGGTAGTGTGACGCGTTAGTCAATTTCCATGTTGTAAATCGCTTATAATTGTCGATACTTCCCTGATTGTTTACACTTGTCACTCGAGTGTTATTTTCTTTAGAATAACACAATTCGTTTCCTTTTACAGAAAAGAAATAAAGTTTATATTTTAATGTAGCAGAAGTTTTAAAAAACGATAAGAATTCATTAGGAAATGAAACTTTTGGTGGTGAGATGTACGACATTATCAAAGAAGAATGCGAACGTAACTGCCGAGTTTTGTAGCAATTGATCGAATGGCCTAAAAGTGTATAGCGAACAAACAAACATCCTCGTTTATATATGTTGATATATATCACAAACAATAATATAGAACTGTTCCAAGATATATATAAATATGTTGATTAACTGACTTCGGTTGACTACAGAGAATAAACTAAAGCTATATGCAAGTTAATAATTATTTCCTTTTTAAATTAAATCCAACAAAAATCATAAAATATTATAGTGACTTATCAACTAGAGTTTTATAATACATTTAATAAAATTATAATAGCCGGCACATAAAAATACTTTTAAAAAATTTACGAAAGAATTCTTCTTTAGATATAACTGTATAATTGTCCTTCGTCTGAAATGCATACTATGTTAACTGATAATTCATCAGTTAACATAGTATGCATTTCGCTAGTAAGGCCGGCGCAATTTTATCTGATTAATTTGGTTTATTCATACACAGAAAAGCGAAACGTGGGCGATCTGCCAAGGGATGCCTCCCGAGGGGTCTTTTATGGAAAAACTGTTCCCTTTTTAGGTGTTCCGATCCGAAGAAAACAAGAAAAATTCCACGTGATCGAGCGTTAATCAGGCGCCAACCCACGACCTAATACTAGTGTAGGGCGGTTTTTATCCTTCGGCAACTGGTGAGGAAAATTATCTAATCCCTAAATAAAAAAAATTTAAACGTCCTACCTATTATCTATCTATCTATCTATGTATATACGTAAAATTATCATATTCATTCAAGCATACACATACACAAAGAGGCATTCATAGATATTTATGAAAATAGCATTATAAACATTTATAAAATCTCTTAAGGGGACCAAAGCAATATAAAAGGGCATCTTACATTATACAAAGAGCTTCAAACTCTATGATTGAAAGTCGTATTTATATCAGTTTTTCTGTAAAATGGCGCAGGTTGCACTAGGGACTAACTCGGCCACGAAAAAAGGGAATGGGATTTTGGTGAACATACGACGAAGTTGCATGGGTAAATGGAAAAACGTCGTTTATTAGTTTCTGTTATGTTTGCAGAATAGGCTAAAAGTCACTATTTTTCTGTCGTTTGGGGTCCTCTTGGGGATTAGGAAAAGGGCAACCCGACACGTGCCCCAAGTGTCGTAATGTACGGGCGCCCGTGTCTAGGAGACCCGAATTCGAATTGTAAATGAAATAGAAGTTTTACAATTAGTTAAATTTCATATTTATCTTTATATTAATTCATAATACGAAGTTACGTTATTCAACACATCGTCAAATGTTAAAAAAACTGCGTACGAAACAATGAATCCGAAAGAAACATTGTGCCTTTATAAATGACTGTAATTGTAAATGACATTTTTCCATCTCGAAAATAATGATGATTATTATTTCATTTATTTTTAAAAATGCGAAAAACTAAGGTAAAGAATTTGTAAAATTTTATACTTATTTATTTGCATAATCTCTTATCCCTTCACTCTGCTTTTTATCTTCATTGTTAAATTACACTTTCCTTTTACGAATTTGCACATTTACTGTATTTTAATAATTTCGTATAAAATTGACCTTATTATTGTACTGTTAACCTTGTTGTACGTTAACTTATTTAGTGGATGTTTTCTAAATGACAAAGTAAGTAGTCTGTCCTCAACATAAAATGAGCGTTTATATTATATTAGAAAGTACGTAAAAACAGCAACTTAAAGAATGAAAATATTAATAAGAATAAATATAGATAAAAGCTTTACAGGGTTTCGAATTGTAATAAAATATTTAGCCATTGCGGAATCCAATATTAATATTTGATTGGTGTTTCGGAAACAATTACATCAAACAGGTGCTAATATCACCTTTTTTGTCATAAACTTTTAAGTTGAAGAGGCTTCAGATGTTTGAACGCCGAGGAGGCATTATTCAATGTCCTTTTGTTTTACAAGGAATTGACAAAATACCCAAACATTCGAGTTAAATCTATTGTTAATTACAGTTGATCCTTCTAAAACACTGTTGATAATTCCGTTTTATACGAATTCCATGTTGTACGAGTCACTTAGATTTTACAAATAATTGAGCCGTTGTCCGGCACACGTATCAACAGTGTTATAGGGGGGTCAACTATACCTTCTTCATTTCTGTTCTGTTGAATAATGTTACTTTTACTTTCTCTTGTGAGAGGGAAAAAAATAGCGATCGGACAAAAAAATGCCCCACCCCTAAGAATTTTATATCTCCGGACTCGAGGGGGGATTTTTTTAAACGTTTAGAAATGAAAGAAAGGTTCCGTATGCCAGGATGTTAGTGAGTGGGAAGGACATTATTTTATTCATCCTCAGCGAGGCTAACTCCCGTACTGTACCTGTTGTCGAAAATTTCTTCTGAAATTTTGCACTATAGTGGATCGATCCTTTTAAATTTTGTTGGTTAAAAGTCAAGGAGTGGAGATATAGACGGGAGATCAATCGTATGTCCTACTTATATCGAGGTTTTAAATTTTTTTTGGCTTTTTCTTTAACTTATTCTGCCCTGTGGGCACAAAGAGAACCTCTTTTCGCAAGCCTATTATGGGTTCGGCCAGGCCCACAATTGGGCTGCCGGGTAAAGAGGGATGGGCCCGACATATCTGAACGGACCACCCCCCAATAACTTCCTGGGGATTTTTTCGACCCGTTAGGATTCGAACCCGAGTCCCCCAGAGCGGTAGGCTTCCACCTTGACCGCTCGCCCATCCGGCCTTTGTTGATTACCTTAGTGACGACAACTTTGTGGATTTTCGAATTAACCAAATGGTTGATGTAAGGGTATTTCATTTGTTAATTGCGAGTACTTCTTTATGTATTTTAATTAACTATNCCTCAGCGAGGCTAACTCCCGTACTGTACCTGTTGTCGAAAATTTCTTCTGAAATTTTGCACTATAGTGGATCGATCCTTTTAAATTTTGTTGGTTAAAAGTCAAGGAGTGGAGATATAGACGGGAGATCAATCGTATGTCCTACTTATATCGAGGTTTTCAATTTTTTTTGGCTTTTTTTTTAACTTATTTTGCCCTGTGGGCACTAAGAGAACCTCTTTTTGCAAGCCTATTATGGGTTCGGCAAAAACCCACAATGGGGCTGCCGGGTGGAGAGGGATGGGCCCGACATATCTGAATGGACCACCCCCCAATAACTTCCTGGGGATTTTTTCGACCCGTTAGGATTCGAACCCGAGTCCCCCATAGCAGTAGGCTTCCACCTTGACCGCTCGCCCATCCGGCCTTTGTTGATTACCTTAGCGACGACAACTTTGTGGATTTTCGAATTAACCAGATGGTTGATGTAAGGGTATTTCATTTGTTAATTGCGAGTACTTCTTTATGTATTTTAATTAACTATATAAAAAATTTATTATCATATTTTAGAAGAAAGATATTCATCATGGAGCAAAGGAATCGGAACAGACATTTCAACCACTATTTACTTTTCGTTGAAAGTGTTTTCTTTTCCTTCATCTTAAAATTATCAGATTTGTGCATGGTAAAATATTGGAAAGAAGATTACGAAATAGAGTAGGACGACACATCTATGTTAAAATATTGTTCCCGGGATCACACACAAGATTCATTAATCGACGTTTTGTGTTATTCGGAAGATTAATTTGAAATGTTTTAATCTCCGTGTTTATCCATCTTTTAATTGGGTAAAATTAAAAGTTTATTATTAATGAATCTATTATCTTGCACACAATACATAAAATTCATTGATAAATTTTTTACTCTCTGTAAAGTTTGATTGCAGACAAATTATATTTGTATATTTGCATGTTTTTGCAATTTCTATTTTCTGCAATTTCGATGTCTAATTTTTAAATTAAATTTTAAATGGTTTTTATAAGTATAAAATAAAGGAGAAATTTAATGTTTTGTTTTAATTCTTGTTTAACCAAACACGTCAAAAATGAAGAAGAATGTGAAATTATTTATTGTTTCGTCGTCATAATACCGGAATGGAATTTTTAATTGTAACTTGTTCTTGCCGACAACACAATCATGCCGGTCATCTAACTCCTTTCAATTAACTATATAGGGGATTCTTTCCATATCTAGTTTGGACATTTCATCTATCTCACTCCATTCTCGAGATTAAGGAAGGACAGACAGGCTTGCATGCATACAATCTATTTAAATTGCAGCCCAAATACTGAAAACATACGAGTGTAACGCGAAAGACGACTTGGAAACACAACAAATTGAGTTTTCGAATACTAATCTATGATAATATATACATTTAATTACTATACCTTTTAATTCTGTTATATTTCTTTTACAAATGTCTTCGGCGGTAAAACAATACTCGCAGAGATCAGATTTCTGCATCCATGAAATTGGAGGAAATATAATTAAATAAATATAAACAATTTTTTGATGTTGTAACTGTTATTGCTATCTCTTTACTTTCTTTAAAGTAATATGTACAGTACAGTACTTAGTGTTAGTATTTAGAACTTTAATTACAGTAAATTGAATCGTAATGGTTGGATATACATTTTACAATAGACTTACTTTTATATTACACTTTCCATTCAGCGTAACTGAATCGTCGTCTTTTTCGCATATTTTAGATTGAAGAAGACAATTATTTCCACATTCTTTTTCGACTACAGACGAAATTTCCCTTTTTTCAACTTGGTGAGGTGTAGGGTTATAATTGACGTTACCGTTAGTTTTCTCAGACTTGATAATGCGCTCTTCTATATCGGATGAAACAACTCGAATGTTGGAATATTGAAGTAAATAGATAAAGATAAAAGGTTGAGCGAGAACAATCAAATAAAGCAGCACTATGAGAAAAGTGACTACTCTTATTTGACGTTGATAGTCGTTTTCTTTGCTGTTCTTCACAGTGCTATTGTCACGATAAAAAACAAATGTAATTATAGCATATCGATTTCGTCATAAAATAAAATGTAATATTTCTATAAAGATAAAAGCATAACGATAAAATTATATATTCTTAGATATATACTTGTTACTCGATAGTAAGACTGCTACAGAATCAATAATTCAGCAATTACTGAAGAATGAAGTTATACTAATGATAATATATTATAGCATGACTCTCACATTCTCATAAAATCAGTGGAATTCAATGTATAAATTCATTGTATCGATGATATAGTGAATGAACGCAGTAATAAGTACAGTATATTGCATTATTTGTTTGGAAATACTGCGTATAACACATGATCTTTTCATTGGTTTGCAATGAAAGGATCGATTTTCGGAGGTGGTTTCAAAGCATTAATTGGTTGAAACAGAGTGAATTCACTTAAGAAAAAGCGATTAAGAGCTTAGATAGCCGCCAGCGTGATTAATATAAAAGTATTAATTCTATTATAATTATCAAATTAAAAGGCTTAAACTCGAAGAATTTTGTCTTGCTAAAACAAATATCTAATTAGCATCGATTAAATAAGTAAATGTACTTACTTTTTGTTATCTCAGAAAAGTCAAACAAACAAAATCATCCGTATTTCTTACAAGAGAGAAGTATCAGCTATAATATCTTCCTCAACACGCTATTTCTTGGGATTTTGTTAGTGTTGATATTCGAATGGTCGACCGAGAGAGAAAGAAGACGATGTTATTGTAATTAAAAATAAGTACAACAGAATTGTACTGGCTATCAAACCACAAAACTCAGATAGAAATAAATGATTCCAGTGTGTAACTAGTAACTCAATTGCGAGTATCCTTTATAGAGCTGAATTTTATAGAAAAGTAATCGCTTCGAAGATAGGTTTTTCACCCTTTCGAGTGTGTGTTGCGAAATATCGTGCGTAAATTATTCGCAAACAGAAGCGAAGTCCAATCTAAGTAAGTTTATATAATTTGTCAGTCGTTCGAAAAAAAATATTCTGGATCTAAACATTCAGCGATTTATAACAGATTCAATGTTACACTTTACTACAGTAAAAATTATTTAAATTGTAAAATATTGCTTCCTAACTAAAGGTTTTATGTTATATAATATATTTAAAATGAATTTATTATATCATTACAGGCATTTGCAATTTAAAAACTTCTATTAATTATAAAAAAACAGAATAAAATTACTCGAAAAGTTATCTGTTAATCACTTTTCTAATAACATCGAGCCTGTATTTCTTTTTAAATATAAAAGATAACATTAGTTGGTATCGTAATGTTTATAATTTTATTTCATCTCACGCTGTTATCGTATTTCTTTAGGCCAAGAAATACAGCTTAGGATGAGATTTTGCATTAATATTTTTTCTGTTTTATTGAAACATTAGATTCTTAGTACTGTGAGTTTTTTAAATTTTATTATGTATTAAAAGATAGTTGCGATGCTTTTTACGAAAGAAATAAAAACAGCTGCATTTTAAGGAAACACCCTGTTTTTATCTTTCAATTTGTTATTAACAGCTGCACTAGTGTTTGAGAAAGTAAAAGGATACCATTTCTCATGAGGAATTTGCATAATGATACTCAAATTACGTAAAAGAAGGATCATTGAATGATGGTTACTTAGGCAAATTAATTGAAGTCTAAACGTATATTCTAGTTGATGTCCAAATAGTAACACGCGGCTTAAGAAAGTAGTTACTAAATCTGTCCAACGAACAAATACGGAAAATTTGAACAGTTTATATGAGGTGGGTTTCGGGGTGTGTCAGGGATTCATATCTACAGCGTTGGGTTTATTGATTAGGTTGTATTATGATTTTTATAAGTAGAATTTTTGCGAAGTGTGTTGTTTTAATTGTATCAAAAAGAGCATTTTATGTCATAGCTGTTATAAATGTACTAGTAAAGTAAGTTAAATCGAGAAACTGGAAACTATGTTTGTCAATGTAGTTAGCCTGGACGAGCAGTTTGAGCAACACGGTCGACCCCTCTATAACACGGTAGATACGTTCCGGTTTTTATGAATACACTTTCTACGAGTCCTTAAATACATGAGCCAATCACAGCCCGACAGGTGTGAAGTTTACGGACTACGATTGTTTGAAAGGTTTTCTTCCATAAAATTAATTGATTCTAGATTAATTTGACTCAACATTTCCAAATTACGTATAATTTTTTGGGAATAATCCGTATAAACTATGCTATAAACGAAAAATTGTAAAGGATTACTTACCGAGTGTGCACCGTTAGATGACGCAACTACGTTTCACTTACGAGTAAACTATGTTGCGACAGTAACGGTAATACAAAGCCAGTGTAAAGACACACTCAGCTATTGATATATAATTACTCCGCCATTAATTAGCGTAGGTTTTTCTCAACCCCCCAGTTTACTTATTAAAGGTAAGTATCATTAATTAGCAAGTTTTAAAGTGTTATTATTGTTTATTTAACAGAAGACTATTAAATAAAATAAAATTACATTGATGTATCCTAAGTCAAGTATGTTTTTATCACGTTAACTAAAATAAGTTTATTAGTCTTTACCAAACAACTAGGTACACGGACACTAGGCTTTTTTACATCGCTCTTTATTCTGCAATATCATGGAGGCTGATACGCGTTTTGGGAATACGCCCCTCATCTGTCGGCAACATATATCAATCATATTACAAATTTACTACAACAGTAATTTACAAACGAACCTTTATCTTACAAACATTTAACATAATGGTGCAAACCAGTATAATGTTCCAATATGTAATTTTTAAACGTCGTCTTTAAAATGTGTCTGAATATATGAATTTATTTTGGATATCTTATACATCAAATTTAATATTAAACACTATTGTTACAAGTCGTTGTAATTACTTTCATCAACTAATTTACTTGTTTATAATAAATGATAGTTGTGCCATATTAATGTTGTGATTTTCTAAACTTTATCTTATAACTATTAAGAGGTCAAAGTTTAGTTTAATTAAAATCACTACAGATGTTATCGTTAATGATTATTATCTATAGCTTCCACGTGGAGTTTTCTTTGTTTTTTTCATATCTGTTGTGCCAGAATAGGTGCCAGTTACCGTTAAAAAGACCTTTTGAAAAACATCCCCCAAGGCATATCGTCCAAGCGTTGCATTGCCATAATTTAACAAAACAAACAAACAAACGTATTATGTATAGCTAGCTGCAGTGCACTTATATACAATACCACGAAAGAAGAAGTTCAGTACTATCACAGAATATTAATAATTAATTTGTCATATAAAGTCGAGTGTGCTTAACAAAACAATATATGAACGATGCGTAATGCTCTTTCATCCAGACTGCTCTCTTACACGAAGTACAGTCGGTAGATAATCTGGAGTTTCAACTACATACCATCGGTACTTGCTAAAATTAACTAGAGACAAATGCAATTACTACAAGAGCTCAAGGTCTATATAGACCTTGCAAGAGCTTGGCGAGATCGAATAATTTTTCTTGAAAGACTAGCTGCAAGGACCCGCTTCGATGGGTGTTTATTTGTATGTACAGTCGACCCCGCTATAATGTGCGTTCCTATAACGGAAATTCCTATAACGTAGCGAAAAAATTGTAGCAACATTCGTATAAAGGAGCTCCTAAAACGTCGTCGCCGAATCGTTTCGCGACAAGATTGATAAAATCTAAACCAATAGTGGATGAGCAGCCGAACTATTTTCCTCCGCCCTGCGCCACGCTAAGAACCGGCTAAATTGAATTTACTATCGTCTGTACAGTATTATATATAAATTATATATAAATTAGGTACTGTACATATAATAATATATTAATTATATATAAATTGGGTACTATACATATAATAATATATTAATTATATATAAATTAGGTACTGTATAAATAATTATATATTAACTTAATTTATTGTAAGTTTATTATAATTATATATATGCTTTCTGCCGCCTGGCAACACGCTACGGAGATTTTAGGCTAGTAAGTTGAGTTTATTATCGTCTGCACAGTATGTAAATTAGGTACCGTAAGTCTAATACAGCACTAATTTTATACATTTCTTGTGAAAGAAACACTTCTTATTCAACGGCCATAAAAATTATTTATATTAATGATGTCTCCAAAGGTCAAGTTCTTTTACTGAAAAAATTCGTTATTAGAAATCGCGGCCGTCGTTTCGTGTGCTGTTCCGCGACAAAAACAAGCTTTGAGCAACGGCGTAGTCGAACAGTGCACACTCGGTAAGTAATTTTATAATTTTTAGTTTATAGCATAGTTTATACAGATTATTTCCAAAAAATTATACGTGTTTTGGAAATGTTGAGTGGAATTAGTCTAGAATCGGTTAATTTTATAGAAGAAAACCTTTCAAACAGCCTTAGTCCGTAAATTTCACACCCATCGGGCTGCAATTGGCTCATGTATTTAATCATTCCTACAACGTAAAATTCGATTAACGTAGAACGTATCTAAGCGTTATAGGGAGACTGTACTGTAATTTTATACATGTCTTGTGAAAAACCATTTTTTATTTAACGGCCATAAAAATTATTTATATTAATGATGTCTCCAAAGTTCTACGAATTTTTCGCAGAAAAATAACTTATCAGAAAACGCGGCCGCCGTTTGGTGCGCCGCACCGCGACGAAAACAAGCTTAATTAGTTTCGTCGTCTAACGGTGCACACTCGGTAAGTAATCCTTTACAATTTTTCGTTGATAGCATAGTTTATACGGATTATTCCCAAAAAATTATACGTAATTTGGAAATGTTGAGTCAAATTAGTCTAGAATCAATTAATTTTATGGAAGAAAACCTTTCAAACAATCGTAGTCCGTAAACTTCACACGTGTCGGGCTGTGATTGGCTCATGTATTTAAGGACTCGTAGAAAATGTATTCATAAAAACCGGAACGTATCTACCGTGTTATAGAGGGGTCGACCGTATTGCTCAAACTGATCGTCCAGGCTAACTACATTGACAAACATCGTTTCCAGTTTCTCGATTTAACTTACTTTACTAATACATTTATAACAGTTATGACATAAAATGCTGTTTTTGATACAATTAAAACAACACACTTCGCAAAAATTCTACTTATAAAAATCATAATACAACCTAATCAATAAACCCAACGCTGTAGATATGAATCCCTGACACACCCCGAAACCCACCTCATATAAACTGTTCAAATTTTCCGTATTTGTTCGTTGGACAGATTTAGTAACTACTTTCTTAAGCCGCGTGTTACTATTTGGACATCAACTAGAATATACGTTTAGACTTCAATTAATTTGCCTAAGTAACCATCATTCAATGATCCTTCTTTTACGTAATTTGAGTATCATTATGCAAATTCCTCATGAGAAATGGTATCCTTTTACTTTCTCAAACACTAGTGCAGCTGTTAATAACAAATTGAAAGATAAAAACAGGGTGTTTCCTTAAAATGCAGCTGTTTTTATTTCTTTCGTAAAAAGCATCGCAACTATCTTTTAATACATAATAAAATTTAAAAAACTCACAGTACTAAGAATCTAATGTTTCAATAAAACAGAAAAAATATTAATGCAAAATCTCATCCTAAGCTGTATTTCTTGGCCTAAAGAAATACGATAACAGCGTGAGATGAAATAAAATTATAAACATTACGATACCAACTAATGTTATCTTTTATATTTAAAAAGAAATACAGGCTCGATGTTATTAGAAAAGTGATTAACAGATAACTTTTCGAGTAATTTTATTCTGTTTTTTTATAATTAATAGAAGTTTTTAAATTGCAAATGCCTGTAATGATATAATAAATTCATTTTAAATATATTATATAACATAAAACCTTTAGTTAGGAAGCAATATTTTACAATTTAAATAATTTTTACTGTAGTAAAGTGTAACATTGAATCTGTTATAAATCGCTGAATGTTTAGATCCAGAATATTTTTTTTCGAACGACTGACAAATTATATAAACTTACTTAGATTGGACTTCGCTTCTGTTTGCGAATAATTTACGCACGATATTTCGCAACACACACTCGAAAGGGTGAAAAACCTATCTTCGAAGCGATTACTTTTCTATAAAATTCAGCTCTATAAAGGATACTCGCAATTGAGTTACTAGTTACACACTGGAATCATTTATTTCTATCTGAGTTTTGTGGTTTGATAGCCAGTACAATTCTGTTGTACTTATTTTTAATTACAATAACATCGTCTTCTTTCTCTCTCGGTCGACCATTCGAATATCAACACTAACAAAATCCCAAGAAATAGCGTGTTGAGGAAGATATTATAGCTGATACTTCTCTCTTGTAAGAAATACGGATGATTTTGTTTGTTTGACTTTTCTGAGATAACAAAAAGTAAGTACATTTACTTATTTAATCGATGCTAATTAGATATTTGTTTTAAGAAGACAAAATTCTTCGAGTTTAAGCCTTTTAATTTGATAATTATAATAGAATTAATACTTTTATATTAATCACGCTGGCGGCTATCTAAGCTCTTAATCTCTTTTTCTTAAGTGAATTCACTCTGTTTCAACCAATGAATGCTTTGAAACCACCTCCGAAAATCGATCCTTTCATTGCAAACCAATGAAAAGATCATGTGTTACACGCAGTATTTCCAAACAAATAATGCAATATACTGTACTTATTACTGCGTTCATTCACTATATCATCGATACAATGAATTTATACATTGAATTCCATTGATTTTATGGGAGTGTGAGAGTCATGCTATAATATATTATCATTAGTATAACTTCATTCTTCAATAATTGCTTAATTATTGATTCTGTAGCAGTCTTACTATCGAGTAACAAGTATATATCTAAGAATATATAATTTTATCGTTATGCTTTTATCTTTATAGAAATACTACATTTTATTTTATGACGAAATCGATATGCTATAATTACATTTGTTCTTATCGTGACAATAGCACTATGAATAACAGCAAAGAAAACGACTATCAACGACAAATAAGAGTACTCTCTTTTCTCATAGTGCTGCTTTATTTGATTGTTCTCGCTCAACCTTTTATCTTTATCTATTTACTTCAATATTCCCACATTCGAGTTGTTTCATCCGATATAGAAGAGCGCATTATCAAGTCTGAGAAAACTAACGGTGACGTCAATTATAACACTACACCTCACCAAGTTGAAAAAAGGGAAATTTCGTCTGTAGTCGAAAAAGAATGCGGAAATAATTGTCTTCTTCAATCTAAAATATGCGAAAAAGACGACGATTCAGTTACGCTGAATGGAAAGTGTAATATAAAAGTAAGTCTATTGTAAAATCTATATCCAACCATTACGATTCAATTTACTGTAATTAAAGTTCTAAATACTAACACTAAGTACTGTACTGTACATATTACTTTAAAGAAAGTAAAGAGATAGCAATAACAGTTACAACATCAAAAAATTGTTTATATTTATTTAATTATATTTCCTCCAATTTCATGGATGCAGAAATCTGATCTCTGCGAGTATTGTTTTACCGCCGAAGACATTTGTAAAAGAAATATAACAGAATTAAAAGGTATAGTAATTAAATGTATATATTATCATAGATTAGTTATATAATTAAATTAATCATATTAATTCTTCTGGAGAAAGAGTATGAACTTTTAGAATACTCTTTTCTTAATCCCAAATAAGAAAACGCAACTCTGAAGAAAACAATTTTGGCTGAATGAATAATAATAATAATTTAGTAACAGACTTTACTCGACATTACACTGAATGAGACACACCACTATTACAAATTTTAATAATTTAATTATTAGAATATAATAATATTCTGAAAATAAAATACAGACTTGTATTGCGCTTTCCCAGACATACACTTTACTTGTTATACTTTAAAATTCCTTCGATTAATGTCTTTAAACTTTACATTTTTGAAGGAATAAAAAATTAGTGACACGTTATATAAATATTTTATTAACAGGGGAAGAGGAGAAAAAAAATGGTGATTCAAAAGAAAAGAAGGGACAAACCAAACGTAAGAAAATTTATTAATTTTATGACATATTTTTATATTTTCGTGAAAAAATACTAGATACAGCATTTCAAACCTGAATTTTGTACCTAAATGCAAATATTAATTTGATATTTTTGTTTGTGTTTAGATTGCACTCTCGACAATATTACATATCATCAAACTTTTCCATTTACAACATTTTATGAAGAGGTTATATTTTCTTCAATACAATTTGAACAGGATTCCGAAGGCAGTTTGAAAATTTTGATAAAGGAAAAAGACAGGCCCATCATAAAAGAATATAAATTACACAAAGACGGAAATTATAAATTGGTTAAGACAATTGTTTTACCTGACGGAACGAAAGATTTTGGATATATATACAATAAAAGTTATTACAGTCAACATGGTTACCTACACAAAGTCGTCAAATACAATTTTGAGACTGGGGAATCGACAACAGGAGAGAAACTCTGTCAAATTCCAGTTTACAATACCTTAGTATTCCGCTTAGACCAGAATTATATCTGGATATTTAACTTACTAAACTTTACCTTAAAAACTTATGAGGCGGTTCAAATTAATCCGGAAAATTTACATGTTTTGTCGCAGCAAGATATTAAACAAAATTATTGTTACATCAGAAATCAATTCGTTGCTTTTGGCAAGATTTATTGTCTTTCTGATGGCGATAAGTTAAAGGTTTATCTTTTGTCGGATTTAAACAAAAAGAAAAATTCGCATATTACCGATAATGAAGAAGTGTATATCGACAGGGAAGCAGAATTTAATCTTATGGATCAGTTCTATAATTTTAAAGAAAGACAACTTTATCTAACTGATCTATCATTTGTAACTAATAATTATACCATTCATAGTTACAAATTACACTTCAATTGTTCATATGAAAAGTAAAAAGTTACATCGTAACATTCATTATAATGATTCATTTCCTTATTAATTAATTTCCTTCGAATTGTTTGAAGTGTCGAACTGTTTACATTTTTTAATAAAGTTTTGTATTACATTTCAATAAATGTTTTATCTTTTCTCGTTTGTCTGAATCACGAGGCACCGAATGGGGCTACTAAATACGTTAAAGGGCATCAGACGTGTCGGACATTCGCGATAATTGTTGACAATTCTGGAAGATTAATTGTTGCATGTTGGGCATTAAAAAGTATTAAAATGTTTATCTTGTAATGCTTCCGAAAATGCCCTTTATCATTCAATTGATATGATTTGAAAATCATATCAATTCAATGGGTAAGATCAGATCTCAGATCGTGTTTAATACATTTAAGAGAAGACAGATATTATGTGTTTTTCACGTGTAGCCTGGTAGATTTCTAGTTCGTTTTCTAGATTATTGTAGCACTATTGCTCTTTAGTATTGTTGATTTCTTTACCTCGACTGTTTAATAGAAATATCATAGCCCAATAATTCGGCAGTTCGTTTGTCTTTAATAATCAGGTTATGAAAAAAAATCTTCATACATGCAGACTTCACACTCATTTGTATTTTTACTCAATTTGCACAACCTGACATTACGCAGTTATTGAAGCTACTAGGCATGGTTAAAAATTAAGACAGCATAAGCAAAATTATTCCAGATACTACAGGTAAAAATTTTTGAGAATCCTGCCACAAATAAGCTACGTATTGATTACTGACCATTTGTGACATGCCATAACGACCAAAAATTAAGAATAAACTAATAAGTAGGTTTAAAATTAATAAATACATATGTATCCTGACAGTTTATGAGTTAATTATATATTCTATTTGCAAAAATAACCGCGTAAATATTATTATTAAACAATAATAATAATATTATCATTAAGCAATTACAACAATTAGTTATCAAAGGTAATTGTAGCAAATCAACTTGCTGAAATTTCTCTAACACTTTACAATGGCTTCTAGTGAAATACGCATTCGAAACCTACAAAACGATGAAATCTTTGCTGCAAAAGATTACTTCGACAGATTCATTACGTATATCATGGAATTGCACGTCGAAGAAATTCAAAAGTTATTACTATGCCTTCCCTATTGAGATCCTCAGACATTTCGTTGCCTGAATTTCTCGATTTTTTAAGGTTTTTCATGCCAGTTTCGTGAACTATGTTTCATGCTTTGTAGAAAGAGACGATCCGGGATTGACTTCTGTCACAAACGTTTTCTTCTGTATGGAATGTGCAAAGCATACGGAATAGAAAATTTACGACGAAAATGTAGAAAATATCTCATTTAGCAAATAACACTGCAAAATGTCTGCTCCATTCACGATTTTGCGCGTGAAATCAACCTAGACATACATACATACAAGAAAGATTCGGCAATACACGAAGTGTTTAGCCGGCAGAAAAGAGTGTAAGGGAAAGGGGAGGAAAAGAAGGAGGGAGAAATGATAGACAGTAGAGAAAGGTAAGATCCCTCTGAACGGCGTACGTATGGCTACAGAACCCTCTATGTTTGATGTTGGCGTGCAGTTTTTAGGCTGCAAGGCTATAGTCTCCAGAAGGGTCTAAAAGAATATTTGAGTGTAGTGAACACCAATGATTCAGTGCTGTCAGGAATAGCTAAGTGTTGACCTTGTATGTAATTCGCATTTATTACTCTGCATTTAATAATTTGCAAATTTTATTATTTCTCGTCAAATTATGTCAGTTAAAGAAGACCGAAAATACGTTTGTTTGCTATTAAATGTTTACTACTTGACTTTTAAAGTTAAGGGGTGTTAATTTATGTCAGTGTAAATTAATTGTCTCATTCCAGCAATGGAATCGGTTAACATACAATGTTTTAATGCCAAATCGATCTTAATTTGCACGATTTTCGTAAATTCAGCCGTCTGTTTAGAGAATAAATTATTATCCTTAAACAGGAACTTTCAAAGTCTTCTTACCTTATTCCACCGAATTTATGCAACGAGTTATTCAGTAAGACACTTACTGAATAACTCGTTGTACTGTATGTGTCGAATCATTTTGCAGTATTAAATTATAATTAGAACACGGAATGATCACAAGTTTTGATTTGTCTAAAGATTGAAAAGCCTTTAGAAACACGTTCTCTCTGTTAAACTTTTAGTCAAATTTCTAGAGAATTCTGTAAATATTAAAGAAACTAATGAAAGATATTTGTCCATGTTTTCGAGTCCACGTTAGCCCCGCTACCTCGGGAGAATGGTGATCCAAGGCTGAATCATAGTTTGAAGCTTCTGGCATAACGTACTATGCGTTCTTTTATAGCTCGTGCCACTCTCCCTTTTAAACTCTGCTCTCGATGACTTCCTTCCATTTTGCATCCGGGTCTCATAGTGTCAATGTAACGTTCTTAAGAGCTAATGACTTTCAAAGACCGAGAGTCAAATTAATGATGAGATTTTGGTCACATGATTCCTGGGAGTTGTGAATAAAACTTAGGCTAATTGAAATACAACACAATACGGAACAATTAGCGTGTTCGAATTTACAAAAAAATAAAATTCGTGAAAAAAGCATTCTCTTCGAAAACTCAATTTGTTGTGTTTCCAAGTCGTCTTTCGCGTTACACTCGTATGTTTTCAGTATTTGGGCTGCAATTTAAATAGATTGTATGCACGCATGCATGCCTGTCTGTTCTACCTTAATCTCGTGAACGGAGTGAGATAGATGAAAGTCCAAACTAGATATGGAAAGAGTACCCTATATAGTTAATTGGAACGAGTTAGATGACCACCATGATTGTGTTGTCGGCAAGAACAGTATGATATATACAAGCAATTTCAGGCAGAGAGCATATAAGTAAAGTTACAATTAAAAATTCCATTCCGGTATTATGACGAAAAACAATAAATAATTTCACATTATTCTTCATTTTTGACGTGTTTGGTTAAACAAGAATTAAAACAAAACATTAAATTTCTCCTTTATTTTACACTTATAAAAACCATTTAAAATTTAATTTAAAAATTAGACATCGAAATTGAATAAAATAGAAATTGCAAAAACATGCAAATATACAAATATAATTTGTCTGCAATCAAACTTTACAGAGAGTAAACAATTTATCAATGAATTTTATGTATTGCGTGCAAGATAATAGATTCATTAATAATAAACTTTTAATTTTACCCAATTAAAAGATGGATAAACACGGAGATTAAAACATTTCAAATTAATCTTCCGAATAACACAAAACGTCGATTAATGAATCTTGTCCATGATTCTGGGAACCATATTGTAACAAAGATGTGTCGTCCTAATCTATTTCTTAATCTTTTTTCCAATATTTCACCACCCACAAATCTGATAACTTTAAGATAAAAGAAAAGAAAACACTTTCAACGAAAAGCAAATAATGGTTGAAATTTCTGTTCCGATTCCTTTGCTCCACGTTGAATATCTTTCTTCTAAAATATGAAAATAAATTTTTTATAAAGTTAATTAAAAATACATAAAGAAGTACTTGCAACTAACAAATGAAATACCCTTACATCAATCATCTGGTTAATTCCAAAATCCACAAAGTTGTCGTTGCTAAGGTAATCAACAAAAGATATCTCAGTGTTTCGAGAGTATTGAATACTGCATAAACGTACTTTGTTATTACAATCATTCAAATGACGAACAAGTTGACCGACGTGGTGAACATTACCTGATAGAAATATAGCAACGAGTTGCGTGACTTTTCCGGCCAAAAAAGAAATTAAAAACCTCGATGAAGGTAAGTCATACGATTGATATCCCGTCTGTATCTCTACCCCCTTAACCTTTAACCATCAAAATTTAAAAGGATCGAACCCCCTATAATGCAAACTTTTCAGCAAAATTTCAGAAGAAATTTTCGACAACAGTTAGCCTCGCAGAGGATGAATAAAATAATCTCCTCCACACTCACTAACATCCTGGCATACGAAATATTTCCAACTTTTTTTTCATTTCTGGACGTTTAAAAAAGTCGCCCCTCGAGTCCGGAAATATAAAATTGTTAGGGGTGGACATTTTTTGACCGATCGCTATTCTTTCCCTCTCATAAGGGAAAGTAAAAAATAGAAACAGAAATGAAGAAGGTAATTAACAATAGATTTAACGGAGATGTTTGGATAATTTTTCAATTCCTTGTAAAACAAAAGGACATTAAATAATGCCTCCTCGGCGTTGAAACATCTGAAGCCTCTTCAACTTAGAAGTTCACGATAAACAAGGTGATATCAGCACCTGTCAGATGTAATTGTTTCCGAAACACCGATCAAATATTAATATTCGATTCCGCAATGGCTAAATATTTTATTACAATTCGAAACCCTGTAAAGCTTTTATCTATACTTATTAATATTTTTATTCTTTAAGTTGCTGTTTTCACGTACTTTCTAATATAATATAAACGCTCATTTTATGTTGAGGACAGACTACTTACTTTGTCATTTAGAGAACATCCATTAAATAAGTTAACGTACAACAAGGTTAACAGTACAATAATAAGGTCAATCTTGTACGACATTATTAAAATACAGTGAATGTGCAAATTCGTAAAAGGAAAGTGGAATTTAACAATGCAGATAAAAAGCAGAGTGAAGGGATAAGCGTTTATGCAAATTCATGAGTATAAAATTTTACAAATTCTTTACCTTAGTTTCGCATTTTTAAAAATAAATGAAATAAAAATCAGCAATATTTTTGAGATGGAAAAATGTCATTTACAATTACAGTAATTTATAAAGGCACAATATTTCTTTCGAATTCATTGTTTCGTGCGCAGATTTTCTAACATTTGACGATGTGTTCAATAATATAACTTCGTATTATGAATTAATATAAGGATAAATGTAAAATTTAACTAATTGTAAAACTTCTATCTCATTTACAATTCAAATTCGGATCTCCTAGACACGGGCGCCCGTACATTAGGACACTTGGGGCATGTGTCGCGTTGCCCTTTTCCTAATCTCAAAGAAGACCTTAAACGACAGAAAATTCGTGACTTTTAGCCTATTCTGCAAATATAACACAAACTAATAAACGACGTTTGTCCATTTACCCACGCAACTTCGTCGTATGTT